GCTGGTGAATCCTTGGTCCCAGTAAGCCCTGCCACAACCCAGCCATGGCACAGGCTCCTCAGCTTTATCTGGAGTAAGGATTTAGGGACAGGGGTCTGGAGTTGAGGCTTCTTGGGCTAAGCTTCTCTGAGAGTATCTCTGGGGGCCTCTTAGGCAAAGCCCTACTCAGTTTTCCAAGGTCTTTCTCAAGGTCAAGTTTATGAAGAGGGCATGAGGTGCTTGGCTGAGGCTGATCTCCTCCTGCTGAGCACCCCCCCTCCCATCACACTGTCCTTCCTGTGCAGCAAGTGTCTGCAGGGTCTGGAGGCAGGAAAGCAATTCTGATCTGTTGAAGTTTGTCTCCTCTGTGTGTGTCCTGCACTAAATGCCAAAACCCCAACATGGGACAAAACGCAGAGAGGGACACAGGTACAGTCCAGGCCTGACAATCCTGTGTGTGCAAAGTAGAAGTGACCCCGCCCCCCAACACCCAGGGATCATGTTGAATCACTCACGGTATAAGGTGAAATGTACAGTTACTCCTTTAGTCTCCTCCATTCGATTCATGATTTTTACGGTGTAGGACCCTGTGTCCTGCTTAGTAACATTCCGGATCAGCAGGGATCCATTGGAATATAGTGTTTCTCGTCCACTGTATGCATACCCAAATATAATTCTTTCAGGGTCTATTGTATATGCTGTAATGAATTGGTGGAAGTCCATTATTTGCCCTTTGTACCAGACATAGGCAGCAACTTTCTGGGGCAAATTGCGGACAAGTAGAAGAACATCCTTCCCCTCGGAAACTTTGGTTGGCTGAGCTTCAATCATGACTTGGGCAGTGGTGGGCGGGTTCCAGAAGATTAAAAATGACGCTAGGAGGTGGAGAGAGCATCAGTCAATATTGAGACCTATGTATTGGGGTGAAAAGATGGGGCCCTGGGTCCTGAGACGATCTCTTCAATCATCAGCCTTGAAGATACACACACACACAAGCATACACACATACACACACACACCCCTTTTGTGTGTGTGTGATTGTGTGTTTGTGTCCTACTGTTCTACTGGGTCAAGGTCAGCGGCAAGACCCCTATTCCTTCAACCCTTTTGACCTCGGCATTTTTCTCTTTGGAATCCTCTACCCCAGAGGTCTGCATGGCTTCCTTCACACTGCCCTCAGGTCCTGCTCACATCAGGGCATCCTTACACTTCTTTCTGACACCTCCTTCAGAGACCCTGGGTCCTCCCTTTCTGATCTTTCCCTGCTCTGCTCCCTCCAGAGCTCTTGTCAACACCTGACCTCACATTCCAGATCTCTTTGCATGTCTGCCTTACTGCCCATGAGAGCATGAGCTCCCTGAGGACAGGGACGTTTGTGATCTGGGTTGCACCCCAGTGCCTGGGACAGGCTGCAGACTCCAGTAGATGTGAGAGTTCCGAGGACCCTTCATGCCTGGGGTGTTTTTATTTTCTTTACCCAATGGTTGAGGTTTTTTGCTAAGGACAGTGTTTCATGTCCTGCTTATATTTTCATTTGAAGTGTCATCTCATAATAGTTATTATTATCATTTTTCAAAATGTGGTGACCAGTGATGATTAACCAGGAAAGGAGAACACTTGAGATTTTCCTACCTCTTACCAATTCCAGTTCAATGTGATTTTCCTGTTTTGACCCCTGTCCCTCTGTGGTATATTTTCCCCTATCCAGGTTCCAATAGAGCCTTTTTTCCTCTTTTTTTTTTTTTTTTTTTTTGATACAGAGTCTCATACTGTCGCCCAGGCTGGCATGCAGCGGCACAATCTCCACTCACTGCAACCTCTGCCTCCCGGGTTCATACAATTCTCCTGCCTCAGCCTCTCAAGTAGCTAGGATTACAGGAGCCCACCACCACACCTGGTTAATTTTTTGTATTTTTAGTAGAGACGGGGCTTCACTGTGTTGACCAGACTGGTCGTGAACTCCTGACTTCATGATCCACCCACCTCAGCCTCTTAAAGTGCTTACTTTTATTTTTTAGAACGCCATCCTCTCCAGCAAACCCCATCCAATAATTCTGCTTCCTCCTCCTGTCCTCTCCCAGGAAATTCTCTCCTCACCTGTGAGCAGGAGCTCCTTCCAGGTGATGTGCAGTGTGCAGGCAGGCACTGAGAGGGGCCCCATGGCCTGTGCTGCCTGCGTGTTCTCCTGTGTGGAGATGATCCTGGGATCCAGAAACTTTCTGAGCACGGCTGTCAGCTGTGCTGTCCTTCCTCCTTCTGTGCTGAGCCTCTTCCCGGGGCAGGAGCACTTCTCAAACTCATGGGCGGCGTCTGTGCCCAGGACACCTCTCTGTCCCCTCCCCTCTCAGTCCTGCCTCCTTGTCCCTCCTTCTCTTTTTCCTTTTGTCTGTGTGTCAGGTCCCTGGGAATTGTGGAGGCCTCTGCTTTTTTCAGCAGTGATTCTGTCACCAAACCTCGGCACACACTATGTGCAGGAACACAAACACACTCAAAAAAGAAACACACACAGACACACACAGTCACACACATACCCTGTAGGTTGGGCAAGCACAGTCCTGGGCCTCAGCCTCCTGCTGTCCCCATGGCTCTGGGTCGGGGTGCACATTCACACCCTTTGCCCTCTTTCATCCCCATCTGGCTCTCCCCTTCAGTGCAGGAGGCTGGAGCTGCACCAGGTCCCTGTCACAGGGACACCCCATTGTGCTGTGGGTGAGCTGTGTGTCTTCTGGTGAGAGGGACCCTTCCTTTCTCTAATTGTGTCTAGCTTGGCTGCAGCTTCCAAGGATGAACATTCAGGACCTTGGTGTCCCAGAGGAAAGTGTCTTTCCTGGAGGTGTGCAGGGTGAGTCTCTCATGCCTCTGGGGAGGAGAGGCCTGTGGTGGTTGCTCAGTGGGGGCTGTGAGTCCCATGGTAAAAGGGACAGTTCTCAGTCACTCTATTGCACCCTGGGGACTGGTGGTTGAGCTGGGGCTCAGGGTTTCTCCTTTCTTCCTGACCATCTTTGGTGTCCTCTCTTCTCTGCCCAGCTGATTGTACTGTGGTCACCATACCTTCCCTGTGGTGGTGCAGGAGGAAGTTGGGGAGTTACCCAGGAACCCCGTGGAACATGGCTCGTTGAGGTACAGGAAGGGGAGCCTGGGACAGAGCAGGGGCTCAGAGCTGGAGAGATTCATCCCGACCTACTCCGTGGTCGTGATGGGCTCAGCCCTCCATGTGCTGACATACCCAGGGGTCTGTCCTGAGGGTTTTCACCTGGCCAAAATGCTCTCTGTAGAGGAGGAGCAGGCAGTCACCAGAGAGCCTGTCTGGAGGGACGTCGCTCACACCTGAGAAGGCGGGTGGGGGTGAGATGTGTTCTCGGAACAAAGAGCAATAATACCCCCTTCTCCCGGCAGAGACACAGGAGAGGTCTGTCTTCCCAAGGGACAGCCGGGGGTAGGTGGCCACATCCTATGTGGTGCCTGTGTTTGACCATCTCACGCGCTCTGAGCCCCCACGGGGTGCAGTGGGCAGGCAGGTCATAAGGTGCCTCACTGATTCCCGGGGAGGCTGTGGACCCTCAGGCAGCCACTGTTCTCTGTCAGCTCTAGGCTTGGCCTAGGATGCCCCACAGAACAGGACAGATGGAACAGAGGCGGGCATTTAGGGAGCAGTGACAGAAAGAGTTGATGAGGATGGAGGGAGGTCACGAGGAGAAAGGGCGCAGTGTGGCGTCCCGTGCACCAGCGCTGCCCTGGGAGATGTCTGTTTAACTGAGCCCAGGGAAGGAGCAAGTGTGTGGCGCAGGAGCTGCCTGCAGAGGGAGTGGTGTTAGGTTGGCGGCCGCCAGGTCAGGGAGGAGCTGACAGAGTCCTTGTGGGGAACATGGAGGACGTTGAGGACTTGGGCCAAGGTGACCCTGGTGAGGGTGGACCCTGCTTGGCTAAGGATTCTGCTGAGGGAGGTCCGCATCTCCTGGGAAGGTTCCAGGCTGGAGGGACTCTGCTGCCCTCTGGTGGACTGGAAGGGAAGTGTGGGTGGCCGAAGTCCCAGGCCAGGCTACGTGTTTCATTCCACAAGGATCTGCACGTTTCAAAGGAGGTCACACATATGCTATGTTACAGCTCCATCACCTTCCAGTCCTATGAGTCCCAGTCTCTGTGGCTCTACGTTCACTGTTCTCCCTCTTTCACGATCGGATGTCCCGAACGCAGATTTTTGTCACCTTCTGTGAGTTTGTGTTTGTGTGCAGTAGGCGGCACTGTGTATACCCTGGGGGTAGTGATGTCTGGGGCTGAGCACTGCACATGGGCTTGGGAACAGAGGACGGAGCAGCAGGGCGGGAGGATCAATGCCAGGGGAGTAGGGACAAGTCATTTTCATTTTCTCACTCCCAGGGACCAGAACCCAGGATTCTGACTCC